AATTCCGCAGAATAATTTTTCAACACCGCAATGTTTGCCAGCGAACACGTACCAGCTGGATATATCATATGTCCGGTGTATTTTCCCCGCAAAAACGATTCACCGTGGAGACGCTATTGTCCAACTTCCGGCAATAGATCGTCGCGGGGAGTGGGAAGCCCCTCCGAACCGGCCATACGACACTTTCCAATCGACGACTGGCCGGCAGGTTGACCATGGTCACTGGTGAGCCGAAAAAAGTTATCAAAAAAAAAAATAGAAATTTTTATCCTTCAGAATCCACTGGGGTCACCTTTCAGAGAGAAAAAGTTCAGACCCGATTTTGCACGCGAGTGCCACTCAATAATTCACGTTATATATCTCCTGTTCACTGAGCGAATTCCGAAATCGAAGAGGAGGAAATACTTGTCACTGAGTGGTGGATCACATGAAAAAAGTCTCTTTATTCCTTTTTCGGTGATATTATACGCGAGCCAAGAAAAATCCGGCGATTTTTCTAGCGTGGGAATTCGCTCGATTAAACATATCTCATACTTTTTAGCCCGTGGTTAATGTATAAAGGAAGAGGGAAAAGTTGCGGAGAGATCTCAGCTGTTGTGGGACGGGATGTATGGTTTTGGAAATTTTGAAAGAATTTTGCAATGAATTTCGCTACTTTTCCGGAATAATTTTGGAGGTTTGACGGGGATACGTCTTTAATTTCATGGTGGGGGCCGTTCAAGGTATTACCCGCAACGGTCGGCGCCATTTGTAGGAATTCTAGAAAATTTTAGATTTTTCTAGGAAATTCGAGAAAATTAGTTTTTTTGACAATTCGTGAGAATTCGTCGATTTCATAAATAATTTGAGAAATATCTTCGGTTTCCTAGAATATTCAGGAAAATTTTCCGGTTCTCTAGAAGATTCAGCAAGATTCTCCGGCCTTATAGGAAATTCGGAAACATTCTTGGGTTTTATAGACAATTCCAAAAAATCCTCCTGTTTTCTCAAACTCTCCAGACAATTGTCCGGATTTCTAGATAATTTGATTAAATTAAAGAAAATTCTAGGAATTTGACGGGATTCAGGTTAAATTCTTGATAACATTCGAAATTGTTCAAACTTTCGAAAAGTTGTTTTGCATGAAAATAATTTTCAATAAAAAATTTCTACAAAAATTTGAAGGAATTACGTTATTACAATCCACAATTCGATGAAAAGAATTTTTGGAAATTGTAAACTTCTGTTGAAGGATTGCATAAAAATTGATATAAATCACTTGAAAATTGGAAAGTCAGCGTAATTTGATACTTAATATTGACGTTTCGATTGAAAAATCACATAAGTTGAAAAATTCTCACGTTATAGATTCTCAAAAATTTGGAATTCCATTGAGATTCCAGTTCAACTTGGAATATCATAATTTTTCCCCCTTGAATCGCCTTCAATGTCGATTTTCTAGAAGTTTCTTTCTGAAAAAACTCAATTTTCTTTCAACATTTCTTCTTAAACAGTAGAATTTTCATTTTTCATATCTTTAGAATAATTTTTACTCTGTCATTCCGCTCGATCTCCTCAAAAACCAACACTGGCCATTTCTCGATTAAATATTCAAGGAATTTTCGTTATTAAACATTCACGATTTGCTGAAAAAATTAATGGATATTGTAAACTTCTGTTTGATTATTACATACAAATTAATATGTATAAATTTATATTTTAAGTAAATTGGAAAATTCTTGTTTTCCAGTGACTCAAGAATTAGGAATCCCATTGCGTCGATTTTCAGAAAATTCCAACAAAACTGTCTGCAAAAATTCCATCCTTTCTCTAACTTTCCTCCTCAAAAACGAGAATTTTCAATTTTTTTTCACATCTTCAGAATAATTTTTACTCTCCATCACTCCGCGCTCTCTTCCCAAAAAACTCCTAAATATTTGTCCATTAAAATTTCTCCACTCCTGTTGACTCATTTCCTATGCCCTCGGAGTGCCACTATTTACCCTCCCGATAAGCCTATGAAAATGCAGAAACTCACGTTAATAAAAAAGGGTGACATGGATGTTGGATAAGCCAAAGCGATGAGACTCATTCATAATTCGCAGAGGAGCGTGTGTATCTAGGCCATGCCCATTCGACACTATCCCCGGAAATATTCAGCTTGTACGCCGACAAATGAATAATATTTCCCGTGCATTCGTCTCATTGTCCCCCGTCATTTTAATTTTTCCCTCTTTACCCAGCACGCGAAGAGGAAAAACAAATCATTATTATTTCATCGCTATTCACCGGGAATTTATCTCCCCGAATTATTAAAATTTACTTCGTTCACTTGTCAATTAACACGTGACAGTTAAAATTTATTAAACCACGGGAACATCAACAGCAGTAATTACAAAACTCATGGGTTTATATCGCAGAGGTCATGCACTGTTCGGTACCACTGGAAGTCAGATCAATATCTATACACCTATATCCCGCAGGTCAAATAAACTGTAGCCTCTCAACAATGAATTTGACGTACGACGAGACAACAATTTTCCTTTTCAATCAACTCCACTGATTTTTCAACTCTTTCTCTCGTTGTGTTCCGCTGATCGTGGGATTAATTCAATGTTTATGTGCCCTCAACTTTATGCCTGTACACGACTGGCCATTGATCTGAAATGTCATGATGATTCGTTTGTGCTGGTCGTTACAATGTTAATAATACCGACGTGTGTATAAAGTGCATTGGTATGTGATAACGACCTGCATACGTACATGCAGTGCATGGAATAGGAGAGAACGACTTTCCGGTACAATAGAATAAGTACAGTCGTTGGGGAAAATAATGGGAACTGAGTTTTGATTCTGGCGGGTTTTCATTGGGGTTCGGAGGTTTCAGCGTGTGAATTCTTGCGGCTAATTAAAGTTGGTTGAATAGGTTCCAGTTGAGGTGTTGACGGTAACGAGTGAAAATAAATTTAAAATGCCGAAAAAAATAATTATTCATCGTGGATAATTTTTTATATGAATTGTGACTTAGATGGGTGTGAGAAATTAATGTATGAAATTGTTTCTTCAATCATTTTGCTAGGCAATACTCTTTCTGTACCAATAAAAAACAACATGGCATGGTCAACGCAACGCTACCACTTCCACATAACACGCCATTTTGGGGCACCCAAAAACAAAAATTATTAAAATGATAATAAAAGTTTAAATGAACTCATATAAAATAAAATAAAAGTACAACATAAAGCGGGTACAGTCGTTGGGGAAAATAATGTGGACTGAGTTTTGATGCTGGCGGGTTTTCATTGGGGTTCAGCGGTTTCAGCGTATGAATTCTTGCGGTTAATTAAAGTTGGTTGAATAGGTTCCAGTTGAGGTGTTGACGGTAACGAGTGAAAATAAATTGAAAATGCCGAAAAAAATGATTATTAATCGTGGATAATTTTTTATATGAATTGTGACTTAGATGGGTGTGAGAATTAATGCATGAAATTGTTTCTTCAATCATTTTGCTAGATAATTGTCTCTCTGTACCAATAAAAGACAAGTCTCTTTTTGACTAGAGTATTTCGGTTGGTGGCAACCCTGTACGGCATGGCCAACGTAACGCTGCCACTTCCATATAACACGCTATTTCCGGGCACCCAGAAACCAAAATTATTAAAATAATAATAAAAGTTTAAATGAACTCATATAAAATAAAATAAAAGTACAACACAAAGCGGTACAATAGAATAAGTACACTCGTTGGGGAAAATAATGGGGACTGAGTTTTGATTCTGGCGGGTTTTCATTGGGGTTCGGAGGTTTCAGCCTTTGAATTCCTGTGGTTAATTAAAGTTGGTTGAATAGGTTCCAGTTGAGGTGTTGACGGTAACGAGTGAAAATAAATTTAAAATGCCGAAAAAAATAATTATTCATCGTGGATAATTTTTTATATGAATTGTGACTTAGATGGGTGTGAGAAATTAATGCATGAAATTGTTTCTTCAATCATTTTGCTAGACAATAGTCTCTCTTTGTACCAATAAAAAATGTCGCTCTTTGACTAGGGCATACCGTCCGCCCGTTTTTCAGAATTGGCTGAGAAAATTTTTTTTTCTTCCTTCATTATGCAAATTTTTTACAGCAACAAGTAATTTCAACAGAAACTTTCAATTTTCTTCCGTGGAAACATGTTAAAAGAATCCAAATCATTTCCTACCGCATTCTTAAAATATGTCGACCCCAGAATTTAAGATTTTTCAAACTTTCAGTTGGTCCATAATTAAATGGAGTTCTAAATATATGTTCGTTATACATTTCCACATCCATTGCGACCTTTTCGACAGCAGAAAAATATCTTCATCAGTTATTATTGGCTATTTTATCAGCCTCCGCGTTTGTGGGTAATTCCGCCCAGAGTTCGTGGGTAATGCCGCTCAGGGTTTCTATAGGGCTGCTAGACTCTGCATCTAGAGGGCGGTCGAGTGACAGCTCGATTGTTTGGAGTAGTCGGTGGCCACTGGAACATCGGGTAAATTCAGGATAATTTATTATTATCCACGTGAAATCTTTCTCACAATGGAGCCAAAGAATGGAAACGAAGGATGAAAATAGGAAAAATTATAACAGTTGGGCTGCATTGCTCAAAAAAGTCATGAAAACAAGGTGGGCGATATTGGACACATGATGCCGGGCGGTATTACCCTCAAAGTTCGATTCCATCGCTCACTGGCCAATGGCAATTGAATTACATAATTAAATACGTTTAATGTTGATAAAAAATCTGTCCTCATTACATCTTCAAGTGAACACCTCGAAGAACCCATTCTAACTGTTTAGGACTCCTCGTAGAGAGCGCTGCTGGAAAAACGACTCATTTCCCTTAGGTGGGCGATACACGCACCAGCTCCCCTACTAATTCTGTATTTGGATCAAACGAAGACTTCTCTCCAATTCATGCGTCATTTTTCTGAGTATAAACCATGCAAAAGCAAATCATTACCATTGGTTCATTAAAAAAAAGACGGAATGCACAGAAATTTCTATTTCAATTCTTTTATTAACGAACAAAGAACTAAAAATAAAAAATAAACGAATGATTGTAATCCTATATATTCCAGTCAACACAATGCTTCGTTCACAGCATTCACGCACAAGTCACGCACACGTTCGAAGATCATTCTCTAATATTTCACGCTTTCCATTGCGTATGGGGACATCGGCATGCACCATCAATAAAGGATCCTATAGTTTTGTTCCCCCGTTTTTTGTCTGCACAAATGTTCTGGGTTTTTGCACACTCATTCGCTATTCTTCCATCGGTTTGCACAGCGGTACGCACATCAGGATGAACGATTGAGAAAATGACGGATATTCATACTTATTCGTAGATAAAGCTAGATTTGTGACGTATTTGCAGCAGTTTGGGATTTTATTGATGAGATTTTCTTAATAGGGGATATTATCGTCTGAAATGCTGTGCTTCATGAGCTTCTCTGTATTCTTTATGTGATGCCGTAGGCAGAACTCGTAGATTCTGCTTCCAGCCTCCTCTAACATGTCAATTGGCACTGTTATCACGAGTCTCATGTACGAAGGGTAATCGAAACACTGGAAAATAAAGGAAAAAATATGAGTCGACTACAACTTCACTGTTTTTTATTCATGTTTCCTTCCTGCTACCGTTACGGCTTTGTATATGGAGAAAAAAGTTGGAGAAAAAGTACCAAGCAAGTCATGTAATCGTGGAGCGGAACGTATTTCTAGGGCTTTTTCACCCGATATCGGGGCAAAAATGCGAGAGAATAGTGAATTTTTCTCAGTCGACTTGGGAAAATTTACTGAACGTGAGGATCATTTGTGCCGACACTGTTAAATTTACCATTTATGCTGTCAAAAATTATCCCATGGGTTCGAATGCTCGCTCAATCGAAGTCGGAAAAAACTACACTGACAAAAAAAATAATTTTATGAAGAGAATTTCACTTGAACCAACTATCATTTGTTTGTTAATTTTTAAATAAACGTGATGTCATAGTGAATACCAGCTATCTGTTCTACATTTGATTGGGAGAAATCGAACTTCTCTAGAATTGAAGTTCCTGTTATTTGTCGAAATAATGAGAGTATTTGATTTCTTTCTAGCCAAAAGTTTGCTAACTCCAGAAATTCGTTGGTTTACTCAAAAATCAAAATTATTCTCATGACTAAATACGTTGTTATCTCAATCAACACGATCATACGTTGTTCCAAGTAAATTATAATTGAAGTGAGCATTTCGTATGTCGAATCAGGATGAATATTGTTACGCGGAAAAAGCTTTGAGATTGTAGTAAGATGTCGCTGAGTTGAAAGAAGTTTATATTTCTTGACTAAAAAAAATCGCATTAGTTTACAATAACAGAATCACAGATTACGGTAATTCAACACAAACTTGAATATCACAAATTTCGTTCAATGTGATGTATGGAAAGCTCAATTTAAACATCGGCTTCATTCGAGAAAACAACATTCAATTCATTCCTCGATGTAATCATCTCCTAGGTACGAAATTTTAATCAATTCATGAAAGTAGAAAATTTCTCGACTGGAGATTATATTATGTTAAAAAAATAGAACTTTTCCATTTTTGTGGTGAATATATGTGACTTGACGCCAAGGACTGTTTTATTTGATTCAAGTGAATGTATCTCAAGAAGAAATAATTGATATTCAGCGTAAGATTTTATTCATGTGAAATTAGTTCACGTATATAATACTTGTTCCAAGAAAGAAACATCTGAATAAAAATAATTTTTTCTATCAGTATACTCTATCATATGCGAAATTTTACTGTACAATGGCCCAGTAATTTTTGCATCCATACATTGAGAAAAAAATTCTAATATCTGAAACCTATTACTTGAGAGAAGTAATTTTCTTTCAATCGTTCAATTTTCCCAGACATCTCGACTCACGTGGCCCGAGAGAAATCTCATGCTTTAAAATATTCTTATACTCAACAGGGAAAAAATATACCTCAATTAAGTATAAAATACACTATCTGAATATACTAAAATATAAAAATATACAAAAAAATAAATAAATAAAAATACCGAATCCTCCAACCAAATCCATTCGTTAACAATAGCTAATCTATTTTATCAGTGTACCTATTCTTCTGCTTACCCAACCACAATGACAGTCGAGGTCATACGATCATCAACCCCACTTCAACCCCCGCCACATAGAAAATCATCTCTAACAACAAATTTAGTTTTTCTTTCATTCTCGATGTTTTCACCATAGACCTTGTCAACATTCGTTTACGCATATCACATCCATAACTGAGTTTGTGTATGAGTTGTCAATACCCTGGCTGAAGCTCTCCGGGCAATAGCCAGTTACAAGTCTGCTCGCAGCAGATCACGTTAGCGTTAAAAATATAAAAATAAAGGGGAGAAATGGAGCGAAAATTTTTAATTAAAATTTTTTACATGCAAGTTTCTCTCAATTCCCCTAGTTTTTCATACCCTTCTCTAATTAGTCCACTGAGATTCTCATTAACTCACCTCTCCGGGAAGACAAAATACCGACTCCTCCATCAGGAGACGACGGACAAAGTCTACTTCCGAGTTGAATTCTGGAAATGACTCAAGGTCAATGCATACCTGCAGAGAAAATATAGAAAAGTGGTGAGAAATCCTCAACTGGGGTTCATTTTTTATTTTGTGGCGTTTCTTCGTGACATTTACGAGAAATTATTCATTTTTACTATTTAGCTTTACTATTGATTTTAGAATTGTGGAGGAGAAATTCATTCCATTTATTCTGCAATGAATGAAACCAAAAAAATGTCGAAATATTTTTTTAGAACGAGAAAATTCCCTGCAAAAACATTCCCTCTAATAATTTGTACTAAAAATGACTAAAATGATTATTCCGTGAGAGGCGGAAACGAAATGTAAAACCCCGAGAGATGATGCATATGGATAAATGTACATTCAATGAAATAATTTCTGCGGTAAAAAATTTACTCGAGGATTTTGCGGAAAAAATATTTCAACCAAACTTGCATAAAATTCAATCGCAATACCATCAGGTGTAAAGAGCTTGATTCACCCAGCCCACACATTATTCCCTCACGGTGCAGAGTAAATAAAAAATGGAAATCGTTTCCAGCCCGCAACACCATCACACAAAAGTATTGGCATCACGATAATATTTACCATCATGTACATGGCGCCATCGGGCATAATAGGTTTGAGTCCTGGGACCTTTTCAATCAGATCATATATCAGTTTTGAGTGATTCTGGAACCATAAAAAAAGTGGGTTAATGTATTGGTTGACTGCGCATAGAGGACAAGTGTTTAGTTCATTAATTTTTAGGAGACTAACGATTCTAGAAGGCTTTGGACTAAGAATGAGAGACTAGTTATTTAATTTAAACAAATGGGAAATTGCTCTTGTATTGCAAATAGTATAGTTATTTTTGCTAATAAATTGGCAATATGCTTCCGATTGGTTATTTTGCACATCATTTCCTTCTATAATATATAATTCATTCATTCATTTGATTCACTTCATTTGATTAAATTGAATAAGATTTCTTTTCAAATAAATTTGTTGGATTTTCAACTTAGTTGAATGTTATCATCATCATTATTCTTATTATCCCTTTCTTCTATACAACCGATTGTCTTTTTTAGGGTTCTATCTCTCCTCTCAGCCCTTCGATAAAATGTTAATAGGAAAATTTTATTTACACATACTTGAATGAATTTGAAACATCACATTTGAAGAAACCATCAGAAAACTCACTTTCAGGGAAATTCACGAAAAATGCGAAATTTTCAACAATCATCATAAAAATCAAATCAACCAATATAGCTATCGTAATCATCTTTTAACTTCAACTTAATGGCATTAAAACAAACATTTTAAGTTATAATTGAGTTCATTTGAAGCATTATATTCAAAGATATCCTCGGAATTCTGATTTTCAAAAAATACAAATTTTTTGCAAATTTTCACATAAATCAAAATAACGATTATTGTTGTTGCCTTCGTCTTCGAACTCGGTCAAAAGGACATCCAAACAAATTTGTTAAGCCATCATTCAATTAATCCAGAACATTTTTTTAGTTATCGTGGGACAACCGATTTTCGAAAAAATTCGAAAATTAAAAAACTATTGGATGAATTCAAATTTAATTGATGGCAATTGATAGGGCACAGAAATGCCTATATTAAAAAAAAAAAGATTCCATTCCATCCAGTCATTAGCGAACAATTGAAGAAAAACTTGGGTGCATTTGTTATTTTGTTGCATTTTCGGACTTTTTGGATCATACTGGGTCTATATGTACTATTATAAATTTTTTGATAAGTAATAGTTGCACTTGAATTCTCAATGTTGTGAATTTCCATTCAATTTAGCATCAAATCGTTCGTGGAATCTCTCATTCCGCTTGGAAATTCAAAATAATCAGGTTTTCCATGTTAGATGATCACTGACATTTCAATGACACCTAGAATTTTCAAATTCATTGCGGAAATTGATCATCACATTCAACTGAATTTTCAGTGGGTTGAAAATTCAGAGATATCGTTGCTTGAATTTTCAAATTATTTAACAATTTTCACTATCAAGTGGCCCTGAAAATTGCAATTCCGTTGAATCCTCCGGAATTCAACGCATTTTTCAATAACAAAATACATGAAAATTTAGTGTGAATGAATAATTGTTAACAATTTTAAGATTTTTTATTTGAAATTTTAGGAGTAATTTTCTGACGTAGTAATCCAAAAAATCCAAAACTGAAATTTGAACGATTACAAAGCTTCCATTCGGAAGCAAAAATCTATCAATTTCCTGTGACATGACATGGATTCTGTATATTTTCTCCGTGCAGTTATCCCAACACAAAAAATCGAAAACCTAAATTCGAACGCTTACAATGCTTCCACCCGAAAGCAAAAAAAAATTAAAAATAACAGAAAGAAAAAAATTCACCCCAAGAGATGTTCATTTCAGATGAAAGCACAAAAGAAAACATATTATGAATGCATGCATCGTATGATCTATTGAAAGAGTGAGTGCATTGGCATGTGTACACGTATTCACGCGTGTATTAAACAGACGTTGGATAATCATCTGCTTTCCGAGAGATGCTTGGCAAACTCCATGACAAAGGGCGAGTGAAATACATGGTGGTGGCTATTTATGTCCCAAGACTGGAGTGCACATAGGCACATAGCACATGGCCACCAGAAACCGGACGAGCGTCAGATCCCGTAGTTCCTTCTGCGCATATTTTTTTTTATTCATTTAATTTATTATTCTCTTCCTTGCTATTTTTTTACGCCTCATTTTTACTCCGCACTTTCCTCTCTGTCTTTTTTATTCTCAATTTTATGGTGGGGTTTCAGATGAAACATCCATTCTGGGTACTGGCGGTTATGAGAGTTTTCACGACGGCGTTTTATGAAAATTTCATGAGGATGTATTCCGCGAGTAATTTTATACCCGACTATCATCGGATGAAATTTATCAGCACATTGTAATATCAATAGTTTATATTCGTTATTTCATTTTGATGAGAATAATTGAAGGAGGAGATTATGGTGATTTTAATGGGATCAACTGCCGCCTGGATTATTCAAATTGTTGTCTTATTTATGTTTGTGATTTTGTTGACGTGCGAAAATTACTTGAATGGGGTTTTCGGTAGTCGCAGAATTGTTGAATTAATGAAGTTGATGGAAATTGTAGTGAAATATGTTAGATCATGAATTTCGCGAAATTATTTTTCTCAGATGGAAACGAAAATTACTGGGAATTGAAAATTGTTTGTCTGATTTTTAAAGATAATTTTGTTGGAATAAATGGAAATTTACGACCTTTCCCCTTTAATTTTATACTCGACTATCATCGGAAGAAATTTATCACCACATTGTAATATCAATAGTTTGATTTCGTTATTTCATTTTGATGAGTATAATTGAGGAGCGAGAAGATTATGGTGATTTTAATGGGACCAACTACCATCTGGATTATTCAAATTGTTTTCTTATTTATGTTTGTGATTTTGTCGAGGTGCGAAAATTACATGAATGGAGTTTCCTGTAGTCGGAGAATTGGTGAATTAATGAAGTTGACGGAAATTGTAGTGAAACATCTTAGATCATGAATTTCGCGAAATTATTTTTCTCAGATTTAGGCAAAAATGATTGGGAATTAGAAACTGTTTGTCTGATTTTTAAAGAAAATTTTCTTGGGATAAATGGAAATTTAAGATTTTCATTTCCTCTTTTATTTTATACTCGACTATCATCGCATGAAATTCATCAGCACATTGTAATATCAATAGTTTAAATTCATCACCTCATTTTAATAGTTATATTGAGGCCAGAGCAGATTATGGTGATTTTAATGGGATCAACTGCGCCGTGGATTATTCAAATTGTTTTCATATATATATTTATGATTGTGTGGAGTAGCGAAAATTGTTTGAATGTCGTTTCCTGTACTCGGAGAAGTGTTGAATTAATGAAGTTAATAGGGAAGGGAAAAATAATGATTCATTTCTATCATTTTTTAAATGAACAAATTAATTATATCATATTATACTAATTTATTTTATTGTTTCCTTTCCAATTTTTCTTTGCGGTTAGATAAAATCAAATTTATTCAATTCTATTCCCAGTGTAGTATATAAATTATGGGAACAGTTTTTCTCATTCTCAAATGAAGAGATATTTATAATAAATAATAAGAAGAGTATTGATACTTTTTGTTGAGATGATGATCGCTTCGCAAGAAAATAAAAATTTCGATTTTTCAATGTCTCCGGAAAGTTTTAAAATTGAGATATTTTTTCAAATAATGAAAGAATACCCATCAATCCAATTTCTAAAAAATTTCTAAAAATAGCAAAAAATAAAAATCGGAGATGAATAATTTTATCGAATTAATATAATGTAATAATTATAAAATCAAAAAAGAATTGACAGCAAAAATTTTCCAACAATCAATTTGTCGGTATTATTTTCCCATTATTTTCTGTCAATTAAGGTAATAATAAATAAATTGATTGATTGCTCAGTCGACCAGTGAATGAATTGATCGATGAATCGGTGAAATAATAAAACCAGTTGAGTCGTCCGTAAACTTAGACGGCGGATTTAATAAAAAATTGTAGTGAAAACATGGTTTTTCGAATCAACTAAAATTTTCCATCCGCACGTGTCTCGATAATTCTCCCCAGAACCACTCATCAATTGCTTGCCGCTAAATTACAATAAATAATTTATTCGCAAAAGATTCAAATTGATGGCGATCGATTCAATTACGCAGTGATTAGTGGATTGCCATGAGTGTCGTTAGCTCACAATATCATGTACAACTCACGTGTAAAATTCTGATGATGTCGTCGTAGAATCTCTGTGGGGTATTTTTGAGGATTTTTGGTAAAGCTCCTTGCACAATTGTGTTGCTCCCGATGATTCGCTGGCTGAGGCACTGCAGACCCTTGCGAATCTATGTACCATATGAGAATAAAAACTATTGCATATTTTTATATGAGGGGAGATGTTTCCTTCAGTAAATGCGCTTTTTTCCATGAAAATAATCGGTGGTCATAATGTGCTTATAATTTCGATATCACAGAACAGGGCGCGTGATTCGCGCGCGCATTGTTTTCCGTGGGTGCCAGAATAGTAAAACCTTACCGTTTCTCACTTTCATTATTTTTTATCTCAATAGTAGTGCAGGATAAATGAATAATTTCAACAAAGTTTTTCACAATGAGAATTTAATTGTTGAATAATTTATTCAGACTAGATTACTCCGCGCGCGGATGTCCTCCGCCATGGGGCTTAATGAATGTCAATTGTCGTGAATCATCTTATATTAGATTTCTGAAATTAATATCGAAGTTTTCGAAGGAAAAGTTTCAGGAATGTATTAAATGAAACTAAAGGAAAATTTCGCATATTTTCAGATTTCTAAAATTAACAGATTTCTACTGGAAGTCGGAAATGGTTTTTATTGTGTATTTGATTCAAAACATTTTGAAAAACGGGGAATAAATGAATAAATCTACTTTTTCGAGAAGCTTCATTAAAGAATTGAGAAAATTAATCATTAAAAACTGAAACCTCTCCATCAAAAATCGATGGAGAATGAATTTTTCCTCTAGACAACATTTTTTCCAAGTTCGTAATAAATTTATTTATATTTAGAATGTTCCCAGAAATGGCCTCCAAAATTGAAACGATCTCCATTTTTCATCCGCATAAATAGAGAATTGTTAAGAAACTAATACGTTGAATTACTTCGAATGGAATTTGAAATTACAGAAAACTTGACGAAATGTTTCAAGAAGTAGATTACTCCCTCCGAGATTTCAATCGCTCAGTGTTAATTTTCCTTGCATAATAGAGTTGCGAAGTAACTCGAGTATTTTTTCACGATTAAACTCTCGTGCATTGGTCTCTAACACAACCATTAAACTCCAAAAACTTGCTAGCCGTTCCGGGAAATTTAAGTTTCCCCGATGAAGTACCAGAAACGCGAGTTGAATTTAATGAGAGAATTCAATTAGAACGTCTCAACTAAGCATTCTCCAATATTATTCTTTCAAAATTCCTATTAAGTGCTCCTGATAACTCACCTCTTTATCGAGAATACTCTGTCGATCATGAATTATTATCCAGCCCATCCTCCAGCCTGGTACGAGAAACCTGTCATCAATGATTGTCGTTATTATCCTCGAAATGGTTTTATGAAAAAGTCAGTGGGAGTAAAATGAAGGTACCACTTGCCTCTTTGTTAAACCACTACAGGAGAGAATGGGAACTTCGGTCGATAGTGACGCTAACGAGTAGTACGTTCTCCCTGGAAATACCTGAGGTAAAATGAATCCGTTTTGATCATATTTCAGTAATATTTAGGTTGAATGTTAACAGTTCCATTCCTCGATTTTCACATTATTCGGCATTAACAAAAAATATTGTTCGTCATACGGCCAAAAAAAACGTTTCTGACGAATATGATTGCAGCCCTCGCCTTCGGCTCGTGCTGCAAACCTCATATTCGCCAGAAAAGTTTTTTTCGGCTAAATGAGGAAATATACTATTTTGTCATTCCGGCCGTAAGGCAGCGGCTTCACGGACGCTACATAGTTAGAAATTTTTTGAAATTTCATGGACAATGTGGTAGTAATTCTCATGAGAGTGACATTGACATACTCACCATGTGCTCATAGATTTCATCAGCAATAATCGGCACATGAAACCTGGCAGCAACATCAAGTACATCAATAAGGTGATTACGACTAAAAACCGATCCACACGGATTGGACGGATTATTTATAACAATAGCAGCGGTATTCTCATCAATTTGTGATGCCATGTCATCAAGATCAATCTCCCAACCGAGCTCCGGCTGAAAGGAAAATTGATAGGATTTTGAGTTGGAAAGCAACGGCAATTGGTCGCTCTGATGCAATCGTTCTGTTGGTGAAATTCGAGTTATTCACGTCGTAGGGGGCTTGTGGAATTGAACTGGTAAATTGGAATTTCCCGGCAAAGGGCACAGTATTGCGTTTTGTTAACGTACCAGTAGGTTGTAGGATCTCACTGATACACCCAGGCCTTCGGCCAATGTTCGGTATATTGAAAAACCCGGTCTTGGTATCAGGATATTTTGGCCCTCTTTCGCGAGGACTGTGATGCACAAATCCAGGGCGCAGGAACATCCGCTGCATAATATGACGTCCTGGGGAGAAGGAGAAACGTTTTATCATATGATCATTCACGCAAACGTTAGTAATCTTTAATTTTATTTACCTGAGGATCCACTTTGAGGAATTCATTTGAGCTGTACTCCGCGACTGCCTCCCGCGCCTCGATATACCCTAGAAGGACAATCCCATCATCAACAACTTCAGGAAACACTTCTCGATTATATGAATCTTACAATCCACACGGACAATTTTCTCTTCGTAAATTAAGGAAAATATTCTGGAATTAAGAAGGCCATTCCCTAACTTAAAAGCGCTGTTTTCTATCTAACAATTTACAAAAATTATAGCATGATTGCAACATTGCTTATTGACAAATTGAACAAATAATAATTATATCAAATAGAAGGGTTTTTGCCGCTGAAACTGTACTTCAACTGTAAATATTTATGCAATTATTTCATAAGAATGAATAAAACTCATTAAAATTCAGATACTTACATTCTTGAATTTTAAATTAATTGGAACTTCAGCGTGATTTAGAACTAAATATTCAAGTTTCAATTCAAGATTCAAATAAACTCGGACTCTGTCGTTTTCTTGCTACTATACATTAAAAATTGCATTAGATTTCCGTGAAATTTCGTAATTTTCCCCTCTAGATCGAATTCAATGTCATTCTCCGGATAATTAAAACTAAACTGTTCATAACATTTCAATTCTTCTTTCAACACTGTACTGTATTCTCCCTTTAAGTGAAGTTTTCTCCAAGAAAAAATACAGAATAATCCGGGCGCTTAGTAAAACCGTCATCGCACCTGTACTCGGCGCATATCCATTATAAGCCTGCGAAGCAACACTCTCTTGCACAGCTTCGATAATCTCCTTCGCTGGCTTCAAGTTCCCAAACGTCGTCGGATCACCTACGAATAATAACCGTTACTCCAAACTATAAAGATGCAAAAAGACAGTCATTTTTCAAATTGCCTCATATGATCAAAAATTACGGTCATGTGACGCACAAATTCTCTAACTACAAATGATGGTCACAAATAATTTGCAAGTAACTTGTGAAGTCAAATACGCCGTTAAAAATTTTTGTCTGAATTTTCCGTGCCAAATTCCGAAAATTTTTTTCGTGTTCAAGTTTCACACGAATTTCAGGAAATCTTGTCATTGAAAAATTAAATATTCCATTGTTTTTCCGCTCAAATGATCTGGAAATCAATAAAATACTTGATTTTTCAATTCAATTATTCTGTGTAAATGCAGAAAAATCAGGAAAATTCAGGAAAAAATTTAAAATTCATGTCATTTTGTTTCTGAATATTCATGTTCCACTGAAAACTCATGAATTTCCGTAAATTCTACATAAACCTGGAAATTTCATAGCCATTTTTTCCCGAAATCCGATTCAATGTCACTCTCATGAGATTTACTATAATATTTTCCACGAAATTTCAAAAAATTTCTACCGGGGCACAGATGCATAATGACAGTCATAGCTAATCTCTAATTTGTGACTGTCACAAATAAACACAATAGATTTATCTACACAGATGAAAAATGTTGGTGATTTTTATTTCAAAAGGCGCAATAGGCTAATCCGAACTGAATTGAAATAAAAATTAATGAAGAGTACATCAAATTCCCTCTATACAGATAGAAAATGACTTCAGATCTCTTGAAAAATTGTGACAATCTTACAAGAGGGAGAGAAATTGCCACAGCCACCATAAACGCCTCGTCATGTGACGCTCAATAGCGGTCACATGACCGTCATATGACGGATCATGTAACGCATTTGCATTTGTACTCCAAGCAAGTCACCTCACACTGCCCTCAACTTCCTAAAAAAAAGTTCCTCGGGTTTTCTCTAACAAATTACCCAAGAGTCGTCAACTTCATGGGGGGAAAACAACCCCCCCCCCCCCCCTCCCAATCGATTATCAGGGATTTTCCATGGTATCGGAAGCCCGATCCGTTGCACCCCGAGACTATTCTCAAGTAATAACTTCGGAGATACCACGTAGAGTCTTACTCAAGAGTTGTTGGCTACGGTAAGCACACGGCTCAATAACATTCACTTGATACAAGCGAAGCCTCATTTAATACACTTGCGTCAAGTATATTTTATACTCGAATTAAGAATAAAATACACTACACCTGGGGAGAAGAAGTGTCGGAATAAATAAACAATTACTCTATATATATCTTCATTCATTCACCCGAACCAATCAATGTATCATCTTCACCTCATTATACCCTATTTACACCAACAAATTATTACTGTATACTATGTACTTATGAAAACACTTGGCTGAAGGCCCTCGGGCGATGGCCTATTGTAAGAAAAAAATTTGTTTTTGTTGTTTGTAATTTTCTTGCAATCAATTCCGTTAAAAATTAAGTTAAAATAAAATACACTTGATTCAAGTATATTTTATACTCAACTGGGGAATGGGGATTTCAATTCGAAGATGATTTTTTTGTATCAGGCCGGGTTGTAGCAAGCCCTCTTAAGTGTGATATAAGGGTCAGGCACCAAGTGTCAGAATATAAGGGTCAAAAAGTGGAGGTTAAAAAATGAGGGTCAGAATATTAGGGTCAAAACATTAGGATCAGAATATAAAAGGGTCCAAATATAAGTCATATATTATACTTGATCACCGTTTTCAGCCCTTATATGACCCCGTCTGCCTGACACCCACTTTTTTTACTTTTATACTCTGACCCTAATTTTTTTATCCTAATATTCTGACCCTCTTTTCTAACCCTAACATTCTGACCCTCATTCCTTCACCTTTACATTCAGGCCCTCAGTTTTTGACTCTAATATTCCGGCCCTCATTCTATTAAATTTTTTTGTGCGTGCAAGTCAGCATTCATAAAAAAAATAGACAATGATGAATAACTAACTTTAAACTTTTGACGTTATTTATTGCAAGAAACATATATTCTTACAAATGGCCATTGCCTGAGGGCCTTCAGCCTGTTGAATAACTATTTTTTGCGTATTTTAAATTTATTTACACTCGATACACTTAACGACACAACTGGAGTCTATGAAAACTGCCTTAACCGTCTATCCACTGATCCGCTTACCCCATAAAATTTGAAATTGATGAAGGGTTTCAGGGGAGACTCACCGATGGATAGAGCTATGAGCTTCTTATTAGGATTCGGCTCCACCACAATGTTCTCAACGATGGACCTAATGGGATTGTGGGTCCTTCTGGCAATATCAGAGGCACGAATGTCCCATCGTTCACGCGACGTTGTCACAATGTTCGACATTTCTTCGATATAAATCGTCCCAACTTCAATATTCATTTCTCCCCGGGATCTTGAAAAATTTTACTCCTCAAAATTTAAACACGATAACTTGGCGATAAAATGTTAAACTCTTATCTTGGGAGTGAGTTATTATCTCCTTTTGAATTTTCAACACAACTCGCGCTGCAATCGTATTTCGATAACTAAAGCGTAGACAGGATGCGCGATCACTTGAAATGGGGAAACGAGAGGCCAGGGGACGTATCGCGGACCGGTTCGATTGGTCGGTCAGTTTCCACACCTTCTTTTCAATAATTAATTAGAAATTCGAAAATACAGTCGTGGCCTCGCGCTGTTAAGTCGTTGTAATCAACGGGTTTTTAACGCATTATTCAGGAGTAGGTAAACATTTGATGATTTAGTGTGTTATTGGAACGATGATGCAAGCAAATTATTGTCTTGCATTTCATCGTGTTTTTTGAGTATACACGGAGAGAAAAGTTTGATAAAAATTATCCAGAAAATCGTGAAAAATTTTACTGCAAGACAAGTCATCATCGAGCCAAATGTTGTTGAATTAAAAAATACCTGTTTGTCGGGGATATTTTACGATTCGTTCGGTAAAAAACACATCTGTGGACGCAAAAATTATACTTCTGTACAGTCAAAATTCTCACACTGGTAAGGTATTTTTGCTTCCGAATGGAAGCTTTGAAATCGTTCGAATTTAAGGATGTTTACACGGAGAGAAATTTTCTAGGAAAATTCTAGTACGAGTACTGGAAAAAATCACAATCCACCGGCTGTGAAAAATTCTCGTGCTGTTAAGGTAAAATTTCTTGGTATTTCTGGTAAAATTTCTGGGGATTTCTGTGCAATTTTCACAGAAATACGGGAAAAAATTTACGTTTTCCCCAATAAAATTTCTTTGCGCCTCTTTTCCCGTGCTAGCACTAGAATTTTTCTAAAAAATTTCTCTCCATGTAACCAGTGTCGGTAAATTGTCGGTAAAGTTGCCTCGAGTTTCTAATGTATCCAACTCCAAAATGCAATGTTAAATTTCTACAACAAATTGACGAATTCAAAAACAATGGCTTTGACGCTCATCTGCTTTCCAGATGGAGACGGAAAACAGACGTCTGACTCGTCATAAATGTCTGAAATTCGCCGAAGTGGCCGTAAATTTCAGATACAACTTTTAAACCCAAATTTTTTTTTTCATCTGACAAATTTCAAACGTTTTCAAGTTTTAAAATTTTCCGACATTTTTTACGTCTGAAATTCTTTGATTTTTGATCGATTCAAACACTTCTTGATGACTGAAAATGTCTGTAAAATGGACTCCAAACTTTTAGAAAAAAGTCTATCAAAATGTCTAAAGTTCGGAAAAACTTTTGGAACTAAAAATTTTTTTCATCCGAAAAATTTTAGACATTTATTTTCAGACATTTTTACGTCTGAAATTCTTTCAATCTTTAATCGATTCAAACACTTTTTGATGTTTGAAACATGTCTGCAAAATGAAGTCGAAATTTTTAAGAAAAGTCTATTAAACCGTCTAAAGTACGGTATTTTTGCTTCCGAATGGAAGCTTTGTAATCGTTCAAATTTAAGGATATTTCGCCAGTATCGGTAAATAGTCGGTAAATATGTTTTTTTTCATGGTCAAAGAAAATTCTGTATTTTGTTCGGCCGACAGAACATATAAAACGCACTTTTTTAGCATTAAAAAAAATTAATTGCAATAGTTTCGGCAGAAATGAATAAACTAATTTATCCTGATACACGGGCTCTTGTGAAATTCATGTTCAAATTGATAGATCACCTACTAGAAGACTAAAAAAATTGCAGGCGGCTGTATCTTCGATAGAGTTGTAGTTGGACGTGAATACGTCCATGGTCTTTCCTTCTTCCTCAAATTTCCTTGCACTCCCGGGAATTTTCTGGAATTTCCTCGAAATTTCTAGAAACTTCTCGAAATGTCTAGTATTTTCTAGAATTCCGATAGATGGCGCTGCACATAAGGACCGTTTTCTTAAAATGACCCCCGTTATTAAAACCATAGACGTATCCACGTCAATAGAAATAAAAATAGAAGGTAATTGTAAAATCATACTGAATCCAATGATCAGAGAAAAATGTGGGGTACCCGGGCGAAAAGAGGAAATATTTGAATGATTCTGTCCCATATAAGCGCATGTTAGCGCACGCATTTGGTGCATTCTGTCGATTTCATTTCTAAATAATGAACATGGGTTGATGGATTGAAATTTGTATCAAAATGGAGGCAATATCTTCATCTCTCAGTTTAAAAAAATCATTTTTTTTAAGTACTTGTGATTTTGGATAAATATCCTTAAGTTTCAGATTTTTATTTGTATTACATCGATCCAGTTTAACCCGAACAGTCCGACAATGCAATTTTTAGCCCTCATAGTAACAAAGTTTTCCTTCAATTGTTCGCTAATGAATGAATGGAATTAAATCTGTTTTTTTAAATGTAGACATTGTAGAGCCCTATTTTTTCTCGGTGTATGAGCAATTGTTTGTGATTGTTATTGAAGAGCTTTATTGTTGTGGAATTGTTGGGGTTACGTTTGTATTGCTTCATGTGTGTTGAATAATCATCCGGTTGATTGATCACAGTATTTTCCCCGTCGCGGGAGGAGATATGTCTCAGTTTTATTTTTGTTTTGATCAATGGAGAAGATTCATTACGATTATTACTCATTGTGAAATATTTTACAGGAGAGATCTGAAATTTCGAAATCGCTGGGGACTTCATCTGTTGTACTGGTGAGTTTACTAGTTCAGTTTTAATGTAAAAAAATGAATAAAAATTAGATTTTAATTTTTTTTATTTACTGATCTGAAACAGGCTTTAGAAGCATTAAATTTTAGACGTTTATTTTCAGACATTTTTACGTCTGAAATCCCTTTGATCTTTGATCGATTCAGACAATTTTTGATGTTTCAAACATGTCTGCAAGATGGACTCCAAATTTTTTGAAAAATGTCTACCAAAATGTTTCGAACTCAGACATTAGTTTTTACGATTGAAACTTCTGCATTTATTAAACATAAAAAACTCTGTTATCTTGAATTGTCTTCACAACTCAAATCTCCATGACTCCCTGAATCTTGAAGGCAATCCAAAGTCACAATGTGGAAATTTTCCGTTGGAGGCCCCCGCGGACTTATAAAGCAATCCCCAAATTGTTTTTGCTCAATATTTTCGAATCAAGAATACTAATATTTGTTATTCAATAATGAGTGTTATCGTCTTATCATCACTTGATATATCCCAATATAATTCTCCGTATTTACTCAAATGTACGTGGAAGTCCAATTTTTGCAACATATTGTGTATCTTCCAGGAGTTAATGAACTTTACTGAACTCAGAGTCTGCATTAAATCGAGCCTCATACATTATCTCACTATTTTTGAATCTCCATGACGTATGAAAAAAATGCAGCGCATCCCCAGGAAATCCTATAAGAAGTTCTATTGTTTATCCGCCGATTTCTACTAGAGACTCAGTTCCTATAGAAATAGTTCATAGGAATTATTTTATACGAGTCCATAAAAAAATTTTGTCTTTTCGATAAAAATTATTCTGTTGGATTTTTCACAATAACTTTTGTCCCCGCACTTTTTTATGAGACCGAACAAAAAAATTCAATAAACTTCTGCCCAAAAATCCGACCGAAAATTTCCATAAACACAATTCTACCAGAATCAGTTTGAAAGAAAATTATAAATTTCCTGATGATTCTCTGTTAAGTATTCATCACATGAAAGAGCAAAAAAAATGAATTGAAAAAGAAACTATTAAAAACAAGCAGTTGACCGCACCTATATTGCAGAAGACATGTTACTGTTACTTTATGCGTTATTTGTATTTGAATTTTTTATTTCTACCAATTCCATTGGTAGTAAGCTTCCGAATGGATCCATAGCAATTCCCTCCGAAGACATTGAGACAAGTATTTTGAAAAAAAAATGAAATCGGTCAAGTAGTTTTTGAAATATTGACCAATATAGTTTCATACAAAAAGTTGAATATCTCTGGAACCACTGGATCGATCGGGTTGAAATTGTGCATTAAACTTCAGCTTAATAGTATCTAGTATGGGTCAAAATTTCACGTCCATATCAATGACTTTTCCCGTATTAATGTTATATTTTCTGAAAAGTGGTAATCCAAAAACCGAACTATCAGACCCGGACAAACAGACATTTTCGAAAAACATAATTTCTTCACGTTTCATACCATTCTCCATCATTTCCAGGCAAAGTTAGAGACCGTAAAAATCCGACGAATACCATGCTTCCATTCGGACGCAAAAATGAAATTTTCCATAGAATTGCAATACCATTTCCTTGCGAATGCATTATCGCTGCATCGAATTTCATCCCCGATATCACCAATTTAATCCCCAAAAATCGTCTGCCCAGACATTATCCTACCGGCTGTTGAGATATCATAGAAATATCTCTGACGCAAATATCCCCAGATTTCAAGAATGACACATGGAATGCCGTTTTTCCGGATCGAGTTTAGTATCAGCGCTGCCATACGTTCTCTCTGGAGGCACGACATCGAAAATCACATGGTGGTGGTAGACCTATCCCACGCCCGGTGAGCCCCCCCGACGTGCCCCACTCGTGATCGCCACGCGGTGATACCTGTTTTTCATTTTTCTCTCGCTTCCAGAATATTCTAATGACGCCTTTCATCTGCATCCGCATTATCTCAAAGTCTTCGAATTCATCTCTGCAATCTAGCAGAGGCACAACCAAAACAATAACAATTGGTGACGTAAATATTCCCAGTGAACTATGTGAGAAAAATAATATTCATTAATTAAAGTGATAACACCTCTCGGGAAACACAATAATCGTGTTTTCTCAGTGCGTCAGTGTCAATGCAGTTATTTGTAGGTAAAATAATGATGTTAAATGAGGAAACATATTTTGTTTTATGATTAATCTTTTGGAGGTGGCACACGCTCGGATCCCCCTGGCGAATGTCACAGCTGAAGATTTATCTGACTTGAATCAAAACATTAAAGAGACGCGCGTGTCTGAGCGCTAAGGTCGTCACCGCTTTTTTTTCTTCGTTTGATCCTTGTCCCGTTCTGACTTGTATTGTAGGGTTTTATCTTCCTCTGGTGGAGACAGCT